GTGTCACATGATCCTTCAGAAATCATTCTGATATGCTGATTTACTACTGTTGAAAACAGTTGTGGCTTAATATTTTTATGGAAACCGTGATACATTTTTCCTTTTCATAATTCTTTGATGAATGGAAAGTTCACAAGAACAGCATTTATTTGAAATTTGATTGCAACATTATAAATGTCTTTACTGTCACCTTTGATTAATTGAATGTGTCCTTGCTGAATAAAAGTATTAATTTCTTTAAATGAAATCTTACTGGCCCCAACCTTTTTGAGCAGTAGTGTGTGTGTGTGTGTGTGTGTGTATAACACCAGTATATATCATGTTAAATGTTTTTATTTGTATTATTGTGATCACCATACTCACTGTGGTCTGGAGGCCTCGGCTTGATCCGTCTGGAGCTTCTCTCCTCCCTCCACCTCCATAGTGCAGTACACAATCCGATTAGGAGCAACCGATTTCAGCCCCTGCACCTCAATGATCACAATCTGAGTGATAGAAACAAGACCACGTGATTAGACTTCACATGACAGTTGAAACACAACCAAAGAGCACCGATTTAGATTTCTTATTTTTGTGCTTTTTGGCAAGTAGCTGTTTATACAACCAACTCACTAAAAATGTAATTTTGAAAATTCCTAGTTCAAACACTTTACTCATGTGGAATTAATGTTTTTATTGAACCATTCAAATGCTTTGTAGCTGTAATCATCACAACCATCACAACCAGCAAGATGATGGTGAATTGTAAAGCAAAGATGGCGTCTTTGGCATCAAATATCTACCTCCAAAGAAAACGACAGCACTACGTCCGATTTGGAGAGAGGCATGTCGTTCTCATCGCCGATGTCCAGGAAGCTGTTCATGGGTGTGAGTTTGGCCTTGATTTTGGGCTTGAAGTCTTTGGCCACAGGTTGGCTCTCCAGGTTCGCCATCAGCAGGTTAACGGACGACCTGAGCTCCTCCATGTACATCATCTCCATGTCTTTGGAAATAAACTTTGGAAACTTCCTCTCCTATTGGACGCAGCAGGAAACAGGATGAACACTGTAACTATAAGGCACCCGTACAGTTGATTCAACCTTACAATTAGTCAAAAATGTATTATATAAAAGATGAACAATTAATATTTGGGGGGAATTTTTTTTTATTGTTGTTTATTTAATATTAATTTACATTATTTATAATTTACTCATGCAATACGACTGAATAATCAACAATACACTAAAAATTATTTAGTTTTATTTATTTTGTTTTTTAAATGTTATATATTTTATATTATTTAATATTAACTCAATAATGGCTCTGAATAATTCACTGACTGAGTCCACAATGTAACTGACTTAGTCCACAATGTGTTAAATAAATGGGATAACTAATAATATTTTGGGGAAAAAAATTTTTTTTTTTATAACATATATTTTTATTCTTATTTATTAGTTTACTTGATTTTAAGTTCAAAGTTTTTCAAATTTACTTAACAACTCTGAAAGAGTCCACAATATGACTGGCTTAATACACAATATGCTAAAAATAGCCAAACCAATAAAATTTTTTGCTAAATAATTAGTATGTTTTTTAACTAAGTTTATTTATTTATTGAATTATTTACTTCATAATGGCTCTGAATGATTCACTGACTTAGTCCACAAAATGCTAAAAAAAA